AGTTAACGTCACTGCACCATGTTGATACCACGTTTAGCCGCGAAGGCCGGCTCCTATCGAGGCGATGTGTTGCTTCACGCTTGAGCGCTTGTGCGCTTTTGGCGCGGAGAGGCCAAACCATGTTAATATCACATTTAGCCGCGATCGGCGGCGGCTCCTTGGGGGTTTGGGGGTTGTGCTGCACAAGTGGGCGACGCAGGCGGCCGCGTGCTCCGAGGTCGCCACCTCGAGAGCCGTGGGCGCCGCGGCGGGGGTCCGGCAGGGCGAGGCGCTGCTCGGCCTGCAACGGGGCCAGGAGCAGCAGAGCTCTGCCGGCGTGCGCGCGCGTTGGCGGCAGCGACGACCCGCCGGACACGGTGAAGGACGCGCAGGGCGACGTGGTGGAGGCGCTCGGGCCTGTGGTGCGCAGCGTGGGCGATGCCCGCTTCGATGCGCCGCGCGGAGAAGAGCGGGGTGGCAGCTCATATGACGAGCAGGGTGGAAGGTCGGCGAGGCGAGCCCTGGGACGCAACGCAGGCGCTGGCCGACCGCTCGGCTGCGCGCTGGGCCGCCGAGATGGCCGAGCGGCGCGGGGCCGAGTTAGAAGAAGAAACAACGCCACAAGCATAAACCTTTGGCGCTCCGCGCAAACTTTTTGGATCCGCGCTGGACCCCCCCTCCCTGGCGCGCGGAGCGCTCCAGGGGGCGGCGCCGCCAGGGGGCCCCAGCGCGGATCCGAGAAATCCGCGCGGAGCGCCAAAGGTTTATGCTTATGGCGTGTTTCTTCTTCGACGAAGTGCCGTGCAGCAGCAGCGGGCGCCGTGCAACGCTGCGCTGCGCGGCTGGCTTGGGGGCGGCGCGGTCGGCCGCGGCGGCGCGGTCGCGCTGGGCCGACTGCGAGGCCCTTGCTGGCCGCGGAGGCCCTGCCTCTGAAGAAGGAGGAGGAGGAGGATGATGAGGAGGAGGAGGAGGAGAGCGGGAGGAGAGGGGGAGGACAGAGGAGGAGGAGGAGGAGGACTAGTGTAAACCCAAGGGTCATCAGCGATGTCGGAATTAACCCTCCCTCCAAGCTCTCTTTTCATAGGCCCCAACAACGGCTCATTTCCATTGAGGGAACTGCCTCGTTGGAAGACAACCGTTTGAAGATCCTGTAGCAAACATTCTCGGGATTTCAACGCCACGTTTTCTGGTACTTTCATCATGGGAACCAATGAAATTGTTAAAACGAATGTGCGCCCAACTACAGCGAAAGCCACATTTTGAAAAGGAACCGCACTCAATCCGTGAAACTGTTGCATATTTTGAAAACGAATGTGCGCGGCGCTAAGACGAGAGCCACACTTTGAAAACCACCCGCCCTCGATCCGTGGAACTATTGCAAAATTTGAAAACTAATGTGCGCGGCGCTGAGGCGAGAGCCATATTTTGAAAACGGCACGCCCTCAATGCATGAATATATTGCACACTTGTTCAAATGATTATATATATACACACAAAAAACGAGCGTGCGCGGCGCGAAGGCGAGAGCCACATGTTGAAAATCAACCGCCCTCGATCCGTGAAGCTCTTGCAAATTTTGAAAACGAATGTGCGCGGCGCTGAAGCGAGAACCACATTTTGAAAGCCACCCGCCCTCAATCCGTGAAACTCTTGCAAGGGTTGAAATCGAATGTGCGCGGCGCTGAGGCGAGAGCCACATTTTGAAAACCACCCGCCCTCAATGCGTGAAATTATTGCAAATGGTTACGATGGGTGTGCGCGGCGCTGAGGCGAGAGCCACCTTTTGAAAACACACCCTCCCTCAGTGAAAAGGTTGTCACTGTTTAAGCTTCATAATCATACATGGTGAGGAAGTTTCAAGCGAAACGCCCGGCCCGCCCTAAAAACTGTCCTCGGGGTGCGACCGGGGGAAATCATCTATAAAGAAAAGGAATGGACGAGAAGGAGAGGGAGGAGGACGAAGAGGAGGAGGACGAGGAGGAGGAGGAGGAGGAGGAGGAGGAGGAGGAGGAGAAGGAATGGAGGAGGAGGGGGAGGAGGAGGAGGAGAGGAGGAGGAGGAGGAGGAGGAGGAGGAGGAGGAGGAGGAGAAGGAATGGAGGAGCAGGAGGAGGAGGACGACGAGGAGGAGGAGGAGGACGAAGGAGGACACGAAGGGCGACGACGCCCTGCTTGACGACGCGATCCGCCTGCCCGCGCACGAAGCCGACGCACTGGCACGCGCCCCGGCGGACACCCTCGCGAGAGAGGTGCGCGTGGCGGCCGTCCCGCGTCGCCGCTGCTCTCACGGAGCTCGGCGCGGATGCGGCGAAGCCTGCGTTGTGCTGGCTCGAGGCGGCGGCCCGCGTGGCGATGGGCGGTCCGGACAGCCCCCCATAGGGGCTGCCTCGGCCTCTGTCGGCGACTGGGCGGTGCGGTTCTGGGGCGGCGAACTCGTGGGCAACACGGGCGACTGGGCGACGGTCGCCTGGCGGGTCGAGGGCGGGATTGGCGGCAAGGGCGCCGGCTGAGCGTGGGATGGGGCGCAGCGGGGACAACGGTGGGGGGGCCTCGCTTCTTTGCGCGCAAGACCGCCGCCCCCTCCCCTCTCCCGCGCTCCATGCTCTCCTGTCTTCGTTGTCGACGCCGGTGGCATCGGCGGTGGCGGGTGTCGGCTGGCGGCGGCGCGTGGCGGGTGGCCTATCGGAGGGCGCCGGCGTCGCGGTGGCGGATGTCGGCGATCGGCGGGGCGCGCGGGCGTGCGTCGTCGTCCTGGCGGCGGCGGAAGTGGCTCCCAACCAAAGGGGAGAGCGCTACCCATCCAGAACGAAGGAGGAGGAAGAGGAGGAGGTCAAAGAGGAGGAGGAGGAGGAGGAGGACGAGGAGGAGGAGGAGAAGGTTAGGTAAGGAAATGAGGAGGAGCAAGAGGAATATCAGGGGCAGAGTCATGATGTTTTTTTTTTACTCGGCATCAGGACCAAACGAGCCTGCGCAGCGTTAAGGAGAAAAGATGGTCCGCCACAGAGAGCCGAATCTCTCGTTATTCCCCGTTCTTGGGGCCACGTCTCGCGGGTGCTGACACAGGGGGGGGCTGCGTCGCGCTGCCACGGAAGCGCTTCGAGGAGGCATACATTCGTGAAGCAAAAAAGCTGCGGCCTCGTCTTGAGCTGCTGTATCTAGCTGATCGTATCGGCCTTCGGGCCCTTCGAGATGAGGTGGCCCCGAGTCGGCAGAGTCTGGCTGTGCCAGCCCTGCCGACCCCGAGTCTGCTTGCCCAGACAAGAAGACAAAACAGCTAAGACAAGCGGCGCACGCCCTGCGGCACGCTCCAGCTGAGTCTTCCAGGACTGGCGGCGCACGCCCTGCGGTATGCTCCAGCTCTGAATATTCTGAGACTGGCTGCGCACGTCCTGCCGACCCCGAGTCGGCAGTTGCTGGGGGGTCTGGCCTAGAAGCGAAGACAGAAGCTTCCGTGACTCGCGGCGCGCGCCCGTCGGCACGCTCCTGCTCTGAGTATTCTGAGACTGGCGGCGCGCGCCCTGTGGCATGCTCGCGATGATGACGACGAGGATTGTGATTTCGACCATGGTGGTAATGGCTGTGTTGATGACGGTGAGGACGCGGTTGGTGATCGCGCTCACGATGCCAACAACTACGACCACGAGAGTACGTGTTGTTTACGTCAGTGCTGCTGCTGACGACGATGACGGCGATGATGATGACCGTTCGGGTGACGGCGATGGCTGATAGGTGGAGAATGAGGAGGAGGAGGAGGAGGAGGAGGAGGAGGAGGAGGAGGAGGAGGAGGAGGAGGAGGGAAGTTGGGGGATGAGGCAGAGGAGGAGGAGGAGGAGGAGGAGGAGGAGCAGGAGGAGGAGGAGGAGGAGGAGGAAGAAAAGGAGGACGACGAGGAAGAGGAGGAGGAGGATGAGGAGGAGGACCAGTGTAAACCCAAGAGGCATCAACGATGTTGGAATTAACCCTCCCTCCAAGCTCCCTCCGCATAGGCCCCGACAGCGGCTCATATCCATTGAGGGAACTGCCTCGCTGGAAGACAAGAAGACCCTGAGTTCTGCCAAAAGATGTTTGTTCAGGATTCCAGCGCTATGGATCAACCTGACTGTTATCAACCGGACTGTTGCGTCTTTACGATCCTGGATCGCGCCAGAACGCCATGCCTGGGACTTAAAACACAGCGAATCAACATAACTTGTGCACCCCCATAAGCCTGAATCCTTCCAGAACGCCATTTCTGGTACGCTGGTCATGTGAATCCGTGAGCCTCCTGCAACTGTTTAAAACGAAAATGCGCGGCGCTGGCGCGAGAGCCACATGTTGAAAAGGAGCCACCCTCAATTCGTGAAACTCTTGCCTTTGTTTAAAACGAATGTGCGCGGCGCTAAGGCGAGAGCCACATTTTGAAAAGGAGCCGCTCTCAATTCGCGAAACTCTTGAATGTTTAAGACGAGTGTGCGCGGCGCTGAGGCTAGAGCCACATGTTTTAAAGGAACCGCCCTCAATCCGCGAAGCTCTTGCAAATGTTTACGACGAGTGTGCGCGGCGCTGAGGCGAGAGCCACATTTTGAAAAGGAGCCACCCTCAATTCGTGAAGGTCTTGCACATCTTTAAAACGAGTCTGCACGGCGCTAAGGCGAGAGCCACATTTTGAAAACGACTCGCCCTCAATCCGCGAAGCTCTTGCAAAGTTTTAAAATGAATGCGCGCGTCGCTGAAGCGAGAGCCACATTTTGAAAACCACCCGCCCCCGATGTGCGAAACTGTTGTCAATTTTTGAGCTTCAGATTCATACGTGGTGAGGAGGTCTCAGGCCTCAGGCGAAACGCCCGGCCCGCCCTAAAAACTGGCCTCGGGGTGCGACAGGGAGAAGTTATTTACAAGGAGAAGGAATGGAGGAGGAGGAGGAGGAGGAGGAGGAGGAGGAGGAGGAGGACGAGGAGCAGGAGAAGACGAAGGACCTGCAGGTCTATGAAGGGACTCTGTCCCCCAGACTCCCACGCGACAAAGTGGTAGAAGGCCTGGGGCAGTTCCAGGAAGCTCTCGGACCCGTTGTACACAAATTTGGAGACCTCGCTGGCAGCTGGCGGCGAAGAGGAGGAGGAGAAGGAGGAGAAAGGGGAGAAGGAGGAGGAGGACGAGGAGGAGGAGCAAGCCACTGGTCCTACGCCACAGTCGATCTTTCCTCCTTACTTTCGGATTCCTCTTTGTGTTCACTGTTACCATGGCACGCGCCCCTCCTCCGCCTTAATTGCAGCCCTCGCGGGTCTATATGTGTGCGCGTTTCCAGCTCGCCCTGTTTGCTGCATTATATGCGCGCGGTCGCCCTAAGCTCGTTTGTTACTGAGGCCGTGTCGCCGAAGTCTGATGTTATCCTTGCTCGCAGGGTCCTCACATGGACGCATCGGCTGTACAGCTCATGTCCGCGCAACGTTAACCATTACCCCGTGACGTACACAACCTTGTCTATACATGTGGCGATGATACTCAGGACCACGCAAAGCTGATTGGCGTTCTGAAGGACCCACAGTGCGCAAGAAGAGCACCCAACAGTGATTTCAGAAGAGCGCAGCAAGAAGTCCCGTGGTGATCCGCATATGACGTACCTCCGCTGGGCCTCCCAGGAGCACACGAAAGTGACGACAATTGCGCAGATCACAGCCCCCCAGGGGCGGCGAGGTCCTGTGGTGATCCGCGTATGACGTGCCTCTGCTGGGCCTCCCAGGAGCACACGAAAGTGGCGACAATTGCGCAGATCGCAGGCCCCCCAATAGGCGGCGAGGTCCCGTGGTGATCCGCGTATGACGTACCTCCGCTGCGCCTCCCAGGAGCCCACGAAAGTGGCGACAATTGCGCAGATCGCAGCCCCCCAGGGGCGGCGAGGTCCCGTAGTGATCCGCGTATGACGTACCTCCGCTGGGCCTCCCAGGAGCCCACGAAAGTGGCGACAAATGCGCAAATCGCAGCCCTCCAGGGGCGGCGATGGCGAGGTCCCGTGGTGATCGGCGTATGACGTACCTCCGCTGCGCCTCCCCGGAGCCCACGAAAATGAAGACAATTGCGCAGATCGCAGCCCCCCAAGGGCGGCGAGGTCCCGTGGTGATCCGCGTATGACGTACCTCCGCTGGGCCTCCCGGAAACCCACCGAAGAAGGATGGACGATTGAGCAGAGTCGCATGTACCCAGGGGCGGCGAGGTCCGTGGTGATATGCGTATATGTGACGTACCTCCGCTGGGCCTACCAGGAGCCCACGAAAATGCGACAATTGCCAGTATCACGCAGCCCCCCAGGGGCGGCGAGGGGTGGGTCCCGTGATTGATCCGCGTCGTGGACGTACCTCCGATGGGGCCTCCCAGGAGCCCACGAAAATGGCGACAATTGCGCAGATCGCAGCCCCCAAGGGGCGGCGAGGTCCCGTGGTGATCCGCGTATGCCGTACCTCCGCTGGGCCTCCCAGGAGCCCACGAAAGTGGCGACAATTGCGCAGATCGCAGGCCCCCCAATAGGCGGCGAGGTCCCGTGGTGATCCGCGTATGACGTACCTCCGCGGGGCCTCCCAGGAGCCCACGAAAGTGGCGACAATTGCGCAGATCGCAGCCCCCCCGGGGCGGCGAGGTCCCGTGGTGATCCGCGTATGACGTACCTCCGCTGGGCCTCCCGGAAACCCACGAAAGTGGCGACAATTGCGCAGATCGCAGCCCCCCAGGGGCGGCGAGGTCCCGTGGTGATCCGCGTATGACGTACCTCCGCTGGGCCTCCCAGGAGCCCACGCAAATGGCGACAATTGCGCAGATCGCAGCCCCCCAGGGGCGGCGAGGTCCCGTGGTGATCCGCGTGTGACGTACCTCCGCTGGGCCTCCCAGGAGCCCACGAAAATGGCGACAATTGCGCAGATTGTAGCCCCCAAGGGGCGGCGAGGTCCCGTGGTGATCCGCGTGTGACGTACCCCAGCTGGGCCTCCCAGAAGCCCACGAAAGTGGCGACAATTGCGCAGATCGCAGCCCCCCAGGGGCGGCGAGGTCCCGTGGCGATGATACTCAGGACCACGCAAAGCTGATTGGCGTTCTGAAGGACCCACAGTGCGCAAGAAGAGCACCCAACAGTGATTTCAGAAGAGCGCAGCAAGAAGTCCCGTGGTGATCCGCGTATGACGTACCTCCGCTGCGCCTCCCCGGAGCCCACGAAAATGGAGACAATTGCGCAGATCGCAGACCCCTAGGGGCGGCAAGGTCCCGTGGTGATCCGCGTATGACGTACCTCCGCTGGGACTCCCAGGAGCCCACGAAAGTGGCGACAGTTGCGCAGATCGCAGCCCGACGGCACGAGAGAAGAGGAGAGGGGAACACAGGAAACAGGAGAGAAGGAGGAGGGGAGGAGAGGGGAGGAGGAGAGGAGGAGGAGGAGGAGGAGGAGGAGGAGGAGGAGGAGGAGGAGGAGAAGGAGGAGGAGGAGGAGGAGGAGGAGGTGGAGAAAACACAGCTCTATTCAAAACGAGTGCCCAACACAGGAGGGTTGGGAAAAAGAGGGGGATGAGGAGAACGAAAAGAAGGGGGAGGACGAGGAGGCGGAAGGGGAGGACGAGAACGAGAACGAGAAGAAGGGGGAGGACGAGAAGAAGGGGGAGGACGAGAAGAAGGGGGAGGCGGAGGGGGAGGACGAGAAGAAGGGGGAGGACGAGAACGAGAAGGAGGGGAAGGGATGCGGTGGCAGAGGGGAAAGACGCACGAGATACGGCGGGGCGCGGGTCGTCGCCCCCGCCCCCCCCCCCGCGCCCGCGGCGGGAACCTCCCGCGGGCCACCGCTAGGGTCCTGAGCCTCCAGCGGCTTGCTCAGAAACCCTGGCCACGGAGGGCCAGGCCTCCATCCGAGGAGCCAGCCCCCCCGACCACGAAGTCCACCGCCAACGCGCCGCTGGCCTCTCGGCCCTCGGCCAGCACGCCGCCGGGCTCCACGAACAGGATCAGCTACCCCGACCAGGACCGCCTGGCCAGCACGTCCCCCCGGCGGTCGGCCATCTGCCTCAGCTGATGGGCCCGTTTTCCACCACCACTACCATAGGTGGGAGAAGGAGAAGGGGGAGTAGGAGGAGGAGGAGGAGGAGGAGGAGGAGGAGGAGGAGGAGGAGGAGGAGGAGGAGGAGGGGAGGAGGAGGAGGAAGAGGAGGAGAGGAGGAGGAGGAGGAGGAGGACATCCTCCTTCTCCTCCTCGCTTCTCCCCCGTCCTGCACACGGTAGCGGTGGTGGAAAACTTGCCCATCATCAGCTGGTCCACGCCGAACGTCGGGACCTGCTCGGTGGGCAGGCCCGCACGCGTCACGAGGCTGGCGACGTGCGTGCGGAGAGCCGGCCGCACCATCTCGGAGAGCTTGCCGCCACTCGCCTCCGTCCTTGCCAGCGCCGCCCTTGCCCTTGCCCGCGCCCGCGTCGCCACACGAGGCGGCCACGCCCCCGCACCAGCGGCAGCTCACCCGCCCACTCGACGGACTCCACCGGCTCGGCGACGACGCCAAACCCCGCACCCACCGCCGCCGCTGCCGCCCGGGCACCCGGGAGCTCTCCGCCTCCACGACGTCCTGTACCTCGCTCTGCGCGTCCACTCCATCCGACCACTGGCCATCGCTCGGACGTCCATGTCCTGTGTGTTTTGTTTTCGGTCTCGTGCGCGGCTTTTCCGCCAGATGGTCGAGGATGCTCCTCGAAGGTCCTCGCCGAAGGAACAATGCCCACGCCCGAGCGATGCCAAGACCACCGCGGCCGCGCGGGCGACCACCGGGAGACCCACGTCGTCCGCGGCAGAGGGGGGGCAGGCTGCCCGACGAGCTCGGCGACAAGCCGTGCGGAGGAGCCCCTGCGGCCGCGCGCAGGAGGCGTGCCGAGCCACGGCGCCCTCCTGCGGCGGCCAGGCCTGCAGCCGCGTGGGCCGCCCGCAGGGCCCCATGCGAGAAGCATCCCGTGGCGCCGCAGCGCGGGCCGCAGCGGTCGCACCGGGCATCTTGGCGGCGCCGCGGCGGGGCCTGCGGGACGACGAGCCTGAGCCAAAACGGCTCCT